AATGGGCAGAAGCGGCTTCTATCCGCTGCTGCCTTTGGCAGAGCCTTCTGCAGGTGAGCCAGGATGGTAGATCTCGAGTACGATCAGATGGAGTGGGTGATGTGCTGATGGGGGAGGCGGTGCGAGGGTGCATGCAGGCTGCAGCGCATGAGGGGGATGTGAATGGGCAGAAGCGGCTTCTATCCGCTGCTGCCTTTGGCAGAGCCTTCTGCAGGTGAGCCAGGATGGTAGATCTCGAGTACGATCAGATGGAGTGGGTGATGTGCTGATGGGGGAGGCGGTGCGAGGGTGCATGCAGGCTGCAGCGCATGAGGGGGATGTGAATGGGCAGAAGCGGCTTCTATCCGCTGCTGCCTTTGGCAGAGCCTTCTGCAGGTGAGCCAGGATGGTAGATCTCGAGTACGATCAGATGGAGTGGGTGATGTGCTGATGGGGGAGGCGGTGCGAGGGTGCATGCAGGCTGCAGCGCATGAGGGGGATGTGAATGGGCAGAAGCGGCTTCTATCCGCTGCTGCCTTTGGCAGAGCCTTCTGCAGGTGAGCCAGGATGGTAGATCTCGAGTACGATCAGATGGAGTGGGTGATGTGCTGATGGGGGAGGCGGTGCGAGGGTGCATGCAGGCTGCAGCGCATGAGGGGGATGTGAATGGGCAGAAGCGGCTTCTATCCGCTGCTGCCTTTGGCAGAGCCTTCTGCAGGTGAGCCAGGATGGTAGATCTCGAGTACGATCAGATGGAGTGGGTGATGTGCTGATGGGGGAGGCGGTGCGAGGGTGCATGCAGGCTGCAGCGCATGAGGGGGATGTGAATGGGCAGAAGCGGCTTCTATCCGCTGCTGCCTTTGGCAGAGCCTTCTGCAGGTGAGCCAGGATGGTAGATCTCGAGTACGATCAGATGGAGTGGGTGATGTGCTGATGGGGGAGGCGGTGCGAGGGTGCATGCAGGCTGCAGCGCATGAGGGGGATGTGAATGGGCAGAAGCGGCTTCTATCCGCTGCTGCCTTTGGCAGAGCCTTCTGCAGGTGAGCCAGGATGGTAGATCTCGAGTACGATCAGATGGAGTGGGTGATGTGCTGATGGGGGAGGCGGTGCGAGGGTGCATGCAGGCTGCAGCGCATGAGGGGGATGTGAATGGGCAGAAGCGGCTTCTATCCGCTGCTGCCTTTGGCAGAGCCTTCTGCAGGTGAGCCAGGATGGTAGATCTCGAGTACGATCAGATGGAGTGGGTGATGTGCTGATGGGGGAGGCGGTGCGAGGGTGCATGCAGGCTGCAGCGCATGAGGGGGATGTGAATGGGCAGAAGCGGCTTCTATCCGCTGCTGCCTTTGGCAGAGCCTTCTGCAGGTGAGCCAGGATGGTAGATCTCGAGTACGATCAGATGGAGTGGGTGATGTGCTGATGGGGGAGGCGGTGCGAGGGTGCATGCAGGCTGCAGCGCATGAGGGGGATGTGAATGGGCAGAAGCGGCTTCTATCCGCTGCTGCCTTTGGCAGAGCCTTCTGCAGGTGAGCCAGGATGGTAGATCTCGAGTACGATCAGATGGAGTGGGTGATGTGCTGATGGGGGAGGCGGTGCGAGGGTGCATGCAGGCTGCAGCGCATGAGGGGGATGTGAATGGGCAGAAGCGGCTTCTATCCGCTGCTGCCTTTGGCAGAGCCTTCTGCAGGTGAGCCAGGATGGTAGATCTCGAGTACGATCAGATGGAGTGGGTGATGTGCTGATGGGGGAGGCGGTGCGAGGGTGCATGCAGGCTGCAGCGCATGAGGGGGATGTGAATGGGCAGAAGCGGCTTCTATCCGCTGCTGCCTTTGGCAGAGCCTTCTGCAGGTGAGCCAGGATGGTAGATCTCGAGTACGATCAGATGGAGTGGGTGATGTGCTGATGGGGGAGGCGGTGCGAGGGTGCATGCAGGCTGCAGCGCATGAGGGGGATGTGAATGGGCAGAAGCGGCTTCTATCCGCTGCTGCCTTTGGCAGAGCCTTCTGCAGGTGAGCCAGGATGGTAGATCTCGAGTACGATCAGATGGAGTGGGTGATGTGCTGATGGGGGAGGCGGTGCGAGGGTGCATGCAGGCTGCAGCGCATGAGGGGGATGTGAATGGGCAGAAGCGGCTTCTATCCGCTGCTGCCTTTGGCAGAGCCTTCTGCAGGTGAGCCAGGATGGTAGATCTCGAGTACGATCAGATGGAGTGGGTGATGTGCTGATGGGGGAGGCGGTGCGAGGGTGCATGCAGGCTGCAGCGCATGAGGGGGATGTGAATGGGCAGAAGCGGCTTCTATCCGCTGCTGCCTTTGGCAGAGCCTTCTGCAGGTGAGCCAGGATGGTAGATCTCGAGTACGATCAGATGGAGTGGGTGATGTGCTGATGGGGGAGGCGGTGCGAGGGTGCATGCAGGCTGCAGCGCATGAGGGGGATGTGAATGGGCAGAAGCGGCTTCTATCCGCTGCTGCCTTTGGCAGAGCCTTCTGCAGGTGAGCCAGGATGGTAGATCTCGAGTACGATCAGATGGAGTGGGTGATGTGCTGATGGGGGAGGCGGTGCGAGGGTGCATGCAGGCTGCAGCGCATGAGGGGGATGTGAATGGGCAGAAGCGGCTTCTATCCGCTGCTGCCTTTGGCAGAGCCTTCTGCAGGTGAGCCAGGATGGTAGATCTCGAGTACGATCAGATGGAGTGGGTGATGTGCTGATGGGGGAGGCGGTGCGAGGGTGCATGCAGGCTGCAGCGCATGAGGGGGATGTGAATGGGCAGAAGCGGCTTCTATCCGCTGCTGCCTTTGGCAGAGCCTTCTGCAGGTGAGCCAGGATGGTAGATCTCGAGTACGATCAGATGGAGTGGGTGATGTGCTGATGGGGGAGGCGGTGCGAGGGTGCATGCAGGCTGCAGCGCATGAGGGGGATGTGAATGGGCAGAAGCGGCTTCTATCCGCTGCTGCCTTTGGCAGAGCCTTCTGCAGGTGAGCCAGGATGGTAGATCTCGAGTACGATCAGATGGAGTGGGTGATGTGCTGATGGGGGAGGCGGTGCGAGGGTGCATGCAGGCTGCAGCGCATGAGGGGGATGTGAATGGGCAGAAGCGGCTTCTATCCGCTGCTGCCTTTGGCAGAGCCTTCTGCAGGTGAGCCAGGATGGTAGATCTCGAGTACGATCAGATGGAGTGGGTGATGTGCTGATGGGGGAGGCGGTGCGAGGGTGCATGCAGGCTGCAGCGCATGAGGGGGATGTGAATGGGCAGAAGCGGCTTCTATCCGCTGCTGCCTTTGGCAGAGCCTTCTGCAGGTGAGCCAGGATGGTAGATCTCGAGTACGATCAGATGGAGTGGGTGATGTGCTGATGGGGGAGGCGGTGCGAGGGTGCATGCAGGCTGCAGCGCATGAGGGGGATGTGAATGGGCAGAAGCGGCTTCTATCCGCTGCTGCCTTTGGCAGAGCCTTCTGCAGGTGAGCCAGGATGGTAGATCTCGAGTACGATCAGATGGAGTGGGTGATGTGCTGATGGGGGAGGCGGTGCGAGGGTGCATGCAGGCTGCAGCGCATGAGGGGGATGTGAATGGGCAGAAGCGGCTTCTATCCGCTGCTGCCTTTGGCAGAGCCTTCTGCAGGTGAGCCAGGATGGTAGATCTCGAGTACGATCAGATGGAGTGGGTGATGTGCTGATGGGGGAGGCGGTGCGAGGGTGCATGCAGGCTGCAGCGCATGAGGGGGATGTGAATGGGCAGAAGCGGCTTCTATCCGCTGCTGCCTTTGGCAGAGCCTTCTGCAGGTGAGCCAGGATGGTAGATCTCGAGTACGATCAGATGGAGTGGGTGATGTGCTGATGGGGGAGGCGGTGCGAGGGTGCATGCAGGCTGCAGCGCATGAGGGGGATGTGAATGGGCAGAAGCGGCTTCTATCCGCTGCTGCCTTTGGCAGAGCCTTCTGCAGGTGAGCCAGGATGGTAGATCTCGAGTACGATCAGATGGAGTGGGTGATGTGCTGATGGGGGAGGCGGTGCGAGGGTGCATGCAGGCTGCAGCGCATGAGGGGGATGTGAATGGGCAGAAGCGGCTTCTATCCGCTGCTGCCTTTGGCAGAGCCTTCTGCAGGTGAGCCAGGATGGTAGATCTCGAGTACGATCAGATGGAGTGGGTGATGTGCTGATGGGGGAGGCGGTGCGAGGGTGCATGCAGGCTGCAGCGCATGAGGGGGATGTGAATGGGCAGAAGCGGCTTCTATCCGCTGCTGCCTTTGGCAGAGCCTTCTGCAGGTGAGCCAGGATGGTAGATCTCGAGTACGATCAGATGGAGTGGGTGATGTGCTGATGGGGGAGGCGGTGCGAGGGTGCATGCAGGCTGCAGCGCATGAGGGGGATGTGAATGGGCAGAAGCGGCTTCTATCCGCTGCTGCCTTTGGCAGAGCCTTCTGCAGGTGAGCCAGGATGGTAGATCTCGAGTACGATCAGATGGAGTGGGTGATGTGCTGATGGGGGAGGCGGTGCGAGGGTGCATGCAGGCTGCAGCGCATGAGGGGGATGTGAATGGGCAGAAGCGGCTTCTATCCGCTGCTGCCTTTGGCAGAGCCTTCTGCAGGTGAGCCAGGATGGTAGATCTCGAGTACGATCAGATGGAGTGGGTGATGTGCTGATGGGGGAGGCGGTGCGAGGGTGCATGCAGGCTGCAGCGCATGAGGGGGATGTGAATGGGCAGAAGCGGCTTCTATCCGCTGCTGCCTTTGGCAGAGCCTTCTGCAGGTGAGCCAGGATGGTAGATCTCGAGTACGATCAGATGGAGTGGGTGATGTGCTGATGGGGGAGGCGGTGCGAGGGTGCATGCAGGCTGCAGCGCATGAGGGGGATGTGAATGGGCAGAAGCGGCTTCTATCCGCTGCTGCCTTTGGCAGAGCCTTCTGCAGGTGAGCCAGGATGGTAGATCTCGAGTACGATCAGATGGAGTGGGTGATGTGCTGATGGGGGAGGCGGTGCGAGGGTGCATGCAGGCTGCAGCGCATGAGGGGGATGTGAATGGGCAGAAGCGGCTTCTATCCGCTGCTGCCTTTGGCAGAGCCTTCTGCAGGTGAGCCAGGATGGTAGATCTCGAGTACGATCAGATGGAGTGGGTGATGTGCTGATGGGGGAGGCGGTGCGAGGGTGCATGCAGGCTGCAGCGCATGAGGGGGATGTGAATGGGCAGAAGCGGCTTCTATCCGCTGCTGCCTTTGGCAGAGCCTTCTGCAGGTGAGCCAGGATGGTAGATCTCGAGTACGATCAGATGGAGTGGGTGATGTGCTGATGGGGGAGGCGGTGCGAGGGTGCATGCAGGCTGCAGCGCATGAGGGGGATGTGAATGGGCAGAAGCGGCTTCTATCCGCTGCTGCCTTTGGCAGAGCCTTCTGCAGGTGAGCCAGGATGGTAGATCTCGAGTACGATCAGATGGAGTGGGTGATGTGCTGATGGGGGAGGCGGTGCGAGGGTGCATGCAGGCTGCAGCGCATGAGGGGGATGTGAATGGGCAGAAGCGGCTTCTATCCGCTGCTGCCTTTGGCAGAGCCTTCTGCAGGTGAGCCAGGATGGTAGATCTCGAGTACGATCAGATGGAGTGGGTGATGTGCTGATGGGGGAGGCGGTGCGAGGGTGCATGCAGGCTGCAGCGCATGAGGGGGATGTGAATGGGCAGAAGCGGCTTCTATCCGCTGCTGCCTTTGGCAGAGCCTTCTGCAGGTGAGCCAGGATGGTAGATCTCGAGTACGATCAGATGGAGTGGGTGATGTGCTGATGGGGGAGGCGGTGCGAGGGTGCATGCAGGCTGCAGCGCATGAGGGGGATGTGAATGGGCAGAAGCGGCTTCTATCCGCTGCTGCCTTTGGCAGAGCCTTCTGCAGGTGAGCCAGGATGGTAGATCTCGAGTACGATCAGATGGAGTGGGTGATGTGCTGATGGGGGAGGCGGTGCGAGGGTGCATGCAGGCTGCAGCGCATGAGGGGGATGTGAATGGGCAGAAGCGGCTTCTATCCGCTGCTGCCTTTGGCAGAGCCTTCTGCAGGTGAGCCAGGATGGTAGATCTCGAGTACGATCAGATGGAGTGGGTGATGTGCTGATGGGGGAGGCGGTGCGAGGGTGCATGCAGGCTGCAGCGCATGAGGGGGATGTGAATGGGCAGAAGCGGCTTCTATCCGCTGCTGCCTTTGGCAGAGCCTTCTGCAGGTGAGCCAGGATGGTAGATCTCGAGTACGATCAGATGGAGTGGGTGATGTGCTGATGGGGGAGGCGGTGCGAGGGTGCATGCAGGCTGCAGCGCATGAGGGGGATGTGAATGGGCAGAAGCGGCTTCTATCCGCTGCTGCCTTTGGCAGAGCCTTCTGCAGGTGAGCCAGGATGGTAGATCTCGAGTACGATCAGATGGAGTGGGTGATGTGCTGATGGGGGAGGCGGTGCGAGGGTGCATGCAGGCTGCAGCGCATGAGGGGGATGTGAATGGGCAGAAGCGGCTTCTATCCGCTGCTGCCTTTGGCAGAGCCTTCTGCAGGTGAGCCAGGATGGTAGATCTCGAGTACGATCAGATGGAGTGGGTGATGTGCTGATGGGGGAGGCGGTGCGAGGGTGCATGCAGGCTGCAGCGCATGAGGGGGATGTGAATGGGCAGAAGCGGCTTCTATCCGCTGCTGCCTTTGGCAGAGCCTTCTGCAGGTGAGCCAGGATGGTAGATCTCGAGTACGATCAGATGGAGTGGGTGATGTGCTGATGGGGGAGGCGGTGCGAGGGTGCATGCAGGCTGCAGCGCATGAGGGGGATGTGAATGGGCAGAAGCGGCTTCTATCCGCTGCTGCCTTTGGCAGAGCCTTCTGCAGGTGAGCCAGGATGGTAGATCTCGAGTACGATCAGATGGAGTGGGTGATGTGCTGATGGGGGAGGCGGTGCGAGGGTGCATGCAGGCTGCAGCGCATGAGGGGGATGTGAATGGGCAGAAGCGGCTTCTATCCGCTGCTGCCTTTGGCAGAGCCTTCTGCAGGTGAGCCAGGATGGTAGATCTCGAGTACGATCAGATGGAGTGGGTGATGTGCTGATGGGGGAGGCGGTGCGAGGGTGCATGCAGGCTGCAGCGCATGAGGGGGATGTGAATGGGCAGAAGCGGCTTCTATCCGCTGCTGCCTTTGGCAGAGCCTTCTGCAGGTGAGCCAGGATGGTAGATCTCGAGTACGATCAGATGGAGTGGGTGATGTGCTGATGGGGGAGGCGGTGCGAGGGTGCATGCAGGCTGCAGCGCATGAGGGGGATGTGAATGGGCAGAAGCGGCTTCTATCCGCTGCTGCCTTTGGCAGAGCCTTCTGCAGGTGAGCCAGGATGGTAGATCTCGAGTACGATCAGATGGAGTGGGTGATGTGCTGATGGGGGAGGCGGTGCGAGGGTGCATGCAGGCTGCAGCGCATGAGGGGGATGTGAATGGGCAGAAGCGGCTTCTATCCGCTGCTGCCTTTGGCAGAGCCTTCTGCAGGTGAGCCAGGATGGTAGATCTCGAGTACGATCAGATGGAGTGGGTGATGTGCTGATGGGGGAGGCGGTGCGAGGGTGCATGCAGGCTGCAGCGCATGAGGGGGATGTGAATGGGCAGAAGCGGCTTCTATCCGCTGCTGCCTTTGGCAGAGCCTTCTGCAGGTGAGCCAGGATGGTAGATCTCGAGTACGATCAGATGGAGTGGGTGATGTGCTGATGGGGGAGGCGGTGCGAGGGTGCATGCAGGCTGCAGCGCATGAGGGGGATGTGAATGGGCAGAAGCGGCTTCTATCCGCTGCTGCCTTTGGCAGAGCCTTCTGCAGGTGAGCCAGGATGGTAGATCTCGAGTACGATCAGATGGAGTGGGTGATGTGCTGATGGGGGAGGCGGTGCGAGGGTGCATGCAGGCTGCAGCGCATGAGGGGGATGTGAATGGGCAGAAGCGGCTTCTATCCGCTGCTGCCTTTGGCAGAGCCTTCTGCAGGTGAGCCAGGATGGTAGATCTCGAGTACGATCAGATGGAGTGGGTGATGTGCTGATGGGGGAGGCGGTGCGAGGGTGCATGCAGGCTGCAGCGCATGAGGGGGATGTGAATGGGCAGAAGCGGCTTCTATCCGCTGCTGCCTTTGGCAGAGCCTTCTGCAGGTGAGCCAGGATGGTAGATCTCGAGTACGATCAGATGGAGTGGGTGATGTGCTGATGGGGGAGGCGGTGCGAGGGTGCATGCAGGCTGCAGCGCATGAGGGGGATGTGAATGGGCAGAAGCGGCTTCTATCCGCTGCTGCCTTTGGCAGAGCCTTCTGCAGGTGAGCCAGGATGGTAGATCTCGAGTACGATCAGATGGAGTGGGTGATGTGCTGATGGGGGAGGCGGTGCGAGGGTGCATGCAGGCTGCAGCGCATGAGGGGGATGTGAATGGGCAGAAGCGGCTTCTATCCGCTGCTGCCTTTGGCAGAGCCTTCTGCAGGTGAGCCAGGATGGTAGATCTCGAGTACGATCAGATGGAGTGGGTGATGTGCTGATGGGGGAGGCGGTGCGAGGGTGCATGCAGGCTGCAGCGCATGAGGGGGATGTGAATGGGCAGAAGCGGCTTCTATCCGCTGCTGCCTTTGGCAGAGCCTTCTGCAGGTGAGCCAGGATGGTAGATCTCGAGTACGATCAGATGGAGTGGGTGATGTGCTGATGGGGGAGGCGGTGCGAGGGTGCATGCAGGCTGCAGCGCATGAGGGGGATGTGAATGGGCAGAAGCGGCTTCTATCCGCTGCTGCCTTTGGCAGAGCCTTCTGCAGGTGAGCCAGGATGGTAGATCTCGAGTACGATCAGATGGAGTGGGTGATGTGCTGATGGGGGAGGCGGTGCGAGGGTGCATGCAGGCTGCAGCGCATGAGGGGGATGTGAATGGGCAGAAGCGGCTTCTATCCGCTGCTGCCTTTGGCAGAGCCTTCTGCAGGTGAGCCAGGATGGTAGATCTCGAGTACGATCAGATGGAGTGGGTGATGTGCTGATGGGGGAGGCGGTGCGAGGGTGCATGCAGGCTGCAGCGCATGAGGGGGATGTGAATGGGCAGAAGCGGCTTCTATCCGCTGCTGCCTTTGGCAGAGCCTTCTGCAGGTGAGCCAGGATGGTAGATCTCGAGTACGATCAGATGGAGTGGGTGATGTGCTGATGGGGGAGGCGGTGCGAGGGTGCATGCAGGCTGCAGCGCATGAGGGGGATGTGAATGGGCAGAAGCGGCTTCTATCCGCTGCTGCCTTTGGCAGAGCCTTCTGCAGGTGAGCCAGGATGGTAGATCTCGAGTACGATCAGATGGAGTGGGTGATGTGCTGATGGGGGAGGCGGTGCGAGGGTGCATGCAGGCTGCAGCGCATGAGGGGGATGTGAATGGGCAGAAGCGGCTTCTATCCGCTGCTGCCTTTGGCAGAGCCTTCTGCAGGTGAGCCAGGATGGTAGATCTCGAGTACGATCAGATGGAGTGGGTGATGTGCTGATGGGGGAGGCGGTGCGAGGGTGCATGCAGGCTGCAGCGCATGAGGGGGATGTGAATGGGCAGAAGCGGCTTCTATCCGCTGCTGCCTTTGGCAGAGCCTTCTGCAGGTGAGCCAGGATGGTAGATCTCGAGTACGATCAGATGGAGTGGGTGATGTGCTGATGGGGGAGGCGGTGCGAGGGTGCATGCAGGCTGCAGCGCATGAGGGGGATGTGAATGGGCAGAAGCGGCTTCTATCCGCTGCTGCCTTTGGCAGAGCCTTCTGCAGGTGAGCCAGGATGGTAGATCTCGAGTACGATCAGATGGAGTGGGTGATGTGCTGATGGGGGAGGCGGTGCGAGGGTGCATGCAGGCTGCAGCGCATGAGGGGGATGTGAATGGGCAGAAGCGGCTTCTATCCGCTGCTGCCTTTGGCAGAGCCTTCTGCAGGTGAGCCAGGATGGTAGATCTCGAGTACGATCAGATGGAGTGGGTGATGTGCTGATGGGGGAGGCGGTGCGAGGGTGCATGCAGGCTGCAGCGCATGAGGGGGATGTGAATGGGCAGAAGCGGCTTCTATCCGCTGCTGCCTTTGGCAGAGCCTTCTGCAGGTGAGCCAGGATGGTAGATCTCGAGTACGATCAGATGGAGTGGGTGATGTGCTGATGGGGGAGGCGGTGCGAGGGTGCATGCAGGCTGCAGCGCATGAGGGGGATGTGAATGGGCAGAAGCGGCTTCTATCCGCTGCTGCCTTTGGCAGAGCCTTCTGCAGGTGAGCCAGGATGGTAGATCTCGAGTACGATCAGATGGAGTGGGTGATGTGCTGATGGGGGAGGCGGTGCGAGGGTGCATGCAGGCTGCAGCGCATGAGGGGGATGTGAATGGGCAGAAGCGGCTTCTATCCGCTGCTGCCTTTGGCAGAGCCTTCTGCAGGTGAGCCAGGATGGTAGATCTCGAGTACGATCAGATGGAGTGGGTGATGTGCTGATGGGGGAGGCGGTGCGAGGGTGCATGCAGGCTGCAGCGCATGAGGGGGATGTGAATGGGCAGAAGCGGCTTCTATCCGCTGCTGCCTTTGGCAGAGCCTTCTGCAGGTGAGCCAGGATGGTAGATCTCGAGTACGATCAGATGGAGTGGGTGATGTGCTGATGGGGGAGGCGGTGCGAGGGTGCATGCAGGCTGCAGCGCATGAGGGGGATGTGAATGGGCAGAAGCGGCTTCTATCCGCTGCTGCCTTTGGCAGAGCCTTCTGCAGGTGAGCCAGGATGGTAGATCTCGAGTACGATCAGATGGAGTGGGTGATGTGCTGATGGGGGAGGCGGTGCGAGGGTGCATGCAGGCTGCAGCGCATGAGGGGGATGTGAATGGGCAGAAGCGGCTTCTATCCGCTGCTGCCTTTGGCAGAGCCTTCTGCAGGTGAGCCAGGATGGTAGATCTCGAGTACGATCAGATGGAGTGGGTGATGTGCTGATGGGGGAGGCGGTGCGAGGGTGCATGCAGGCTGCAGCGCATGAGGGGGATGTGAATGGGCAGAAGCGGCTTCTATCCGCTGCTGCCTTTGGCAGAGCCTTCTGCAGGTGAGCCAGGATGGTAGATCTCGAGTACGATCAGATGGAGTGGGTGATGTGCTGATGGGGGAGGCGGTGCGAGGGTGCATGCAGGCTGCAGCGCATGAGGGGGATGTGAATGGGCAGAAGCGGCTTCTATCCGCTGCTGCCTTTGGCAGAGCCTTCTGCAGGTGAGCCAGGATGGTAGATCTCGAGTACGATCAGATGGAGTGGGTGATGTGCTGATGGGGGAGGCGGTGCGAGGGTGCATGCAGGCTGCAGCGCATGAGGGGGATGTGAATGGGCAGAAGCGGCTTCTATCCGCTGCTGCCTTTGGCAGAGCCTTCTGCAGGTGAGCCAGGATGGTAGATCTCGAGTACGATCAGATGGAGTGGGTGATGTGCTGATGGGGGAGGCGGTGCGAGGGTGCATGCAGGCTGCAGCGCATGAGGGGGATGTGAATGGGCAGAAGCGGCTTCTATCCGCTGCTGCCTTTGGCAGAGCCTTCTGCAGGTGAGCCAGGATGGTAGATCTCGAGTACGATCAGATGGAGTGGGTGATGTGCTGATGGGGGAGGCGGTGCGAGGGTGCATGCAGGCTGCAGCGCATGAGGGGGATGTGAATGGGCAGAAGCGGCTTCTATCCGCTGCTGCCTTTGGCAGAGCCTTCTGCAGGTGAGCCAGGATGGTAGATCTCGAGTACGATCAGATGGAGTGGGTGATGTGCTGATGGGGGAGGCGGTGCGAGGGTGCATGCAGGCTGCAGCGCATGAGGGGGATGTGAATGGGCAGAAGCGGCTTCTATCCGCTGCTGCCTTTGGCAGAGCCTTCTGCAGGTGAGCCAGGATGGTAGATCTCGAGTACGATCAGATGGAGTGGGTGATGTGCTGATGGGGGAGGCGGTGCGAGGGTGCATGCAGGCTGCAGCGCATGAGGGGGATGTGAATGGGCAGAAGCGGCTTCTATCCGCTGCTGCCTTTGGCAGAGCCTTCTGCAGGTGAGCCAGGATGGTAGATCTCGAGTACGATCAGATGGAGTGGGTGATGTGCTGATGGGGGAGGCGGTGCGAGGGTGCATGCAGGCTGCAGCGCATGAGGGGGATGTGAATGGGCAGAAGCGGCTTCTATCCGCTGCTGCCTTTGGCAGAGCCTTCTGCAGGTGAGCCAGGATGGTAGATCTCGAGTACGATCAGATGGAGTGGGTGATGTGCTGATGGGGGAGGCGGTGCGAGGGTGCATGCAGGCTGCAGCGCATGAGGGGGATGTGAATGGGCAGAAGCGGCTTCTATCCGCTGCTGCCTTTGGCAGAGCCTTCTGCAGGTGAGCCAGGATGGTAGATCTCGAGTACGATCAGATGGAGTGGGTGATGTGCTGATGGGGGAGGCGGTGCGAGGGTGCATGCAGGCTGCAGCGCATGAGGGGGATGTGAATGGGCAGAAGCGGCTTCTATCCGCTGCTGCCTTTGGCAGAGCCTTCTGCAGGTGAGCCAGGATGGTAGATCTCGAGTACGATCAGATGGAGTGGGTGATGTGCTGATGGGGGAGGCGGTGCGAGGGTGCATGCAGGCTGCAGCGCATGAGGGGGATGTGAATGGGCAGAAGCGGCTTCTATCCGCTGCTGCCTTTGGCAGAGCCTTCTGCAGGTGAGCCAGGATGGTAGATCTCGAGTACGATCAGATGGAGTGGGTGATGTGCTGATGGGGGAGGCGGTGCGAGGGTGCATGCAGGCTGCAGCGCATGAGGGGGATGTGAATGGGCAGAAGCGGCTTCTATCCGCTGCTGCCTTTGGCAGAGCCTTCTGCAGGTGAGCCAGGATGGTAGATCTCGAGTACGATCAGATGGAGTGGGTGATGTGCTGATGGGGGAGGCGGTGCGAGGGTGCATGCAGGCTGCAGCGCATGAGGGGGATGTGAATGGGCAGAAGCGGCTTCTATCCGCTGCTGCCTTTGGCAGAGCCTTCTGCAGGTGAGCCAGGATGGTAGATCTCGAGTACGATCAGATGGAGTGGGTGATGTGCTGATGGGGGAGGCGGTGCGAGGGTGCATGCAGGCTGCAGCGCATGAGGGGGATGTGAATGGGCAGAAGCGGCTTCTATCCGCTGCTGCCTTTGGCAGAGCCTTCTGCAGGTGAGCCAGGATGGTAGATCTCGAGTACGATCAGATGGAGTGGGTGATGTGCTGATGGGGGAGGCGGTGCGAGGGTGCATGCAGGCTGCAGCGCATGAGGGGGATGTGAATGGGCAGAAGCGGCTTCTATCCGCTGCTGCCTTTGGCAGAGCCTTCTGCAGGTGAGCCAGGATGGTAGATCTCGAGTACGATCAGATGGAGTGGGTGATGTGCTGATGGGGGAGGCGGTGCGAGGGTGCATGCAGGCTGCAGCGCATGAGGGGGATGTGAATGGGCAGAAGCGGCTTCTATCCGCTGCTGCCTTTGGCAGAGCCTTCTGCAGGTGAGCCAGGATGGTAGATCTCGAGTACGATCAGATGGAGTGGGTGATGTGCTGATGGGGGAGGCGGTGCGAGGGTGCATGCAGGCTGCAGCGCATGAGGGGGATGTGAATGGGCAGAAGCGGCTTCTATCCGCTGCTGCCTTTGGCAGAGCCTTCTGCAGGTGAGCCAGGATGGTAGATCTCGAGTACGATCAGATGGAGTGGGTGATGTGCTGATGGGGGAGGCGGTGCGAGGGTGCATGCAGGCTGCAGCGCATGAGGGGGATGTGAATGGGCAGAAGCGGCTTCTATCCGCTGCTGCCTTTGGCAGAGCCTTCTGCAGGTGAGCCAGGATGGTAGATCTCGAGTACGATCAGATGGAGTGGGTGATGTGCTGATGGGGGAGGCGGTGCGAGGGTGCATGCAGGCTGCAGCGCATGAGGGGGATGTGAATGGGCAGAAGCGGCTTCTATCCGCTGCTGCCTTTGGCAGAGCCTTCTGCAGGTGAGCCAGGATGGTAGATCTCGAGTACGATCAGATGGAGTGGGTGATGTGCTGATGGGGGAGGCGGTGCGAGGGTGCATGCAGGCTGCAGCGCATGAGGGGGATGTGAATGGGCAGAAGCGGCTTCTATCCGCTGCTGCCTTTGGCAGAGCCTTCTGCAGGTGAGCCAGGATGGTAGATCTCGAGTACGATCAGATGGAGTGGGTGATGTGCTGATGGGGGAGGCGGTGCGAGGGTGCATGCAGGCTGCAGCGCATGAGGGGGATGTGAATGGGCAGAAGCGGCTTCTATCCGCTGCTGCCTTTGGCAGAGCCTTCTGCAGGTGAGCCAGGATGGTAGATCTCGAGTACGATCAGATGGAGTGGGTGATGTGCTGATGGGGGAGGCGGTGCGAGGGTGCATGCAGGCTGCAGCGCATGAGGGGGATGTGAATGGGCAGAAGCGGCTTCTATCCGCTGCTGCCTTTGGCAGAGCCTTCTGCAGGTGAGCCAGGATGGTAGATCTCGAGTACGATCAGATGGAGTGGGTGATGTGCTGATGGGGGAGGCGGTGCGAGGGTGCATGCAGGCTGCAGCGCATGAGGGGGATGTGAATGGGCAGAAGCGGCTTCTATCCGCTGCTGCCTTTGGCAGAGCCTTCTGCAGGTGAGCCAGGATGGTAGATCTCGAGTACGATCAGATGGAGTGGGTGATGTGCTGATGGGGGAGGCGGTGCGAGGGTGCATGCAGGCTGCAGCGCATGAGGGGGATGTGAATGGGCAGAAGCGGCTTCTATCCGCTGCTGCCTTTGGCAGAGCCTTCTGCAGGTGAGCCAGGATGGTAGATCTCGAGTACGATCAGATGGAGTGGGTGATGTGCTGATGGGGGAGGCGGTGCGAGGGTGCATGCAGGCTGCAGCGCATGAGGGGGATGTGAATGGGCAGAAGCGGCTTCTATCCGCTGCTGCCTTTGGCAGAGCCTTCTGCAGGTGAGCCAGGATGGTAGATCTCGAGTACGATCAGATGGAGTGGGTGATGTGCTGATGGGGGAGGCGGTGCGAGGGTGCATGCAGGCTGCAGCGCATGAGGGGGATGTGAATGGGCAGAAGCGGCTTCTATCCGCTGCTGCCTTTGGCAGAGCCTTCTGCAGGTGAGCCAGGATGGTAGATCTCGAGTACGATCAGATGGAGTGGGTGATGTGCTGATGGGGGAGGCGGTGCGAGGGTGCATGCAGGCTGCAGCGCATGAGGGGGATGTGAATGGGCAGAAGCGGCTTCTATCCGCTGCTGCCTTTGGCAGAGCCTTCTGCAGGTGAGCCAGGATGGTAGATCTCGAGTACGATCAGATGGAGTGGGTGATGTGCTGATGGGGGAGGCGGTGCGAGGGTGCATGCAGGCTGCAGCGCATGAGGGGGATGTGAATGGGCAGAAGCGGCTTCTATCCGCTGCTGCCTTTGGCAGAGCCTTCTGCAGGTGAGCCAGGATGGTAGATCTCGAGTACGATCAGATGGAGTGGGTGATGTGCTGATGGGGGAGGCGGTGCGAGGGTGCATGCAGGCTGCAGCGCATGAGGGGGATGTGAATGGGCAGAAGCGGCTTCTATCCGCTGCTGCCTTTGGCAGAGCCTTCTGCAGGTGAGCCAGGATGGTAGATCTCGAGTACGATCAGATGGAGTGGGTGATGTGCTGATGGGGGAGGCGGTGCGAGGGTGCATGCAGGCTGCAGCGCATGAGGGGGATGTGAATGGGCAGAAGCGGCTTCTATCCGCTGCTGCCTTTGGCAGAGCCTTCTGCAGGTGAGCCAGGATGGTAGATCTCGAGTACGATCAGATGGAGTGGGTGATGTGCTGATGGGGGAGGCGGTGCGAGGGTGCATGCAGGCTGCAGCGCATGAGGGGGATGTGAATGGGCAGAAGCGGCTTCTATCCGCTGCTGCCTTTGGCAGAGCCTTCTGCAGGTGAGCCAGGATGGTAGATCTCGAGTACGATCAGATGGAGTGGGTGATGTGCTGATGGGGGAGGCGGTGCGAGGGTGCATGCAGGCTGCAGCGCATGAGGGGGATGTGAATGGGCAGAAGCGGCTTCTATCCGCTGCTGCCTTTGGCAGAGCCTTCTGCAGGTGAGCCAGGATGGTAGATCTCGAGTACGATCAGATGGAGTGGGTGATGTGCTGATGGGGGAGGCGGTGCGAGGGTGCATGCAGGCTGCAGCGCATGAGGGGGATGTGAATGGGCAGAAGCGGCTTCTATCCGCTGCTGCCTTTGGCAGAGCCTTCTGCAGGTGAGCCAGGATGGTAGATCTCGAGTACGATCAGATGGAGTGGGTGATGTGCTGATGGGGGAGGCGGTGCGAGGGTGCATGCAGGCTGCAGCGCATGAGGGGGATGTGAATGGGCAGAAGCGGCTTCTATCCGCTGCTGCCTTTGGCAGAGCCTTCTGCAGGTGAGCCAGGATGGTAGATCTCGAGTACGATCAGATGGAGTGGGTGATGTGCTGATGGGGGAGGCGGTGCGAGGGTGCATGCAGGCTGCAGCGCATGAGGGGGATGTGAATGGGCAGAAGCGGCTTCTATCCGCTGCTGCCTTTGGCAGAGCCTTCTGCAGGTGAGCCAGGATGGTAGATCTCGAGTACGATCAGATGGAGTGGGTGATGTGCTGATGGGGGAGGCGGTGCGAGGGTGCATGCAGGCTGCAGCGCATGAGGGGGATGTGAATGGGCAGAAGCGGCTTCTATCCGCTGCTGCCTTTGGCAGAGCCTTCTGCAGGTGAGCCAGGATGGTAGATCTCGAGTACGATCAGATGGAGTGGGTGATGTGCTGATGGGGGAGGCGGTGCGAGGGTGCATGCAGGCTGCAGCGCATGAGGGGGATGTGAATGGGCAGAAGCGGCTTCTATCCGCTGCTGCCTTTGGCAGAGCCTTCTGCAGGTGAGCCAGGATGGTAGATCTCGAGTACGATCAGATGGAGTGGGTGATGTGCTGATGGGGGAGGCGGTGCGAGGGTGCATGCAGGCTGCAGCGCATGAGGGGGATGTGAATGGGCAGAAGCGGCTTCTATCCGCTGCTGCCTTTGGCAGAGCCTTCTGCAGGTGAGCCAGGATGGTAGATCTCGAGTACGATCAGATGGAGTGGGTGATGTGCTGATGGGGGAGGCGGTGCGAGGGTGCATGCAGGCTGCAGCGCATGAGGGGGATGTGAATGGGCAGAAGCGGCTTCTATCCGCTGCTGCCTTTGGCAGAGCCTTCTGCAGGTGAGCCAGGATGGTAGATCTCGAGTACGATCAGATGGAGTGGGTGATGTGCTGATGGGGGAGGCGGTGCGAGGGTGCATGCAGGCTGCAGCGCATGAGGGGGATGTGAATGGGCAGAAGCGGCTTCTATCCGCTGCTGCCTTTGGCAGAGCCTTCTGCAGGTGAGCCAGGATGGTAGATCTCGAGTACGATCAGATGGAGTGGGTGATGTGCTGATGGGGGAGGCGGTGCGAGGGTGCATGCAGGCTGCAGCGCATGAGGGGGATGTGAATGGGCAGAAGCGGCTTCTATCCGCTGCTGCCTTTGGCAGAGCCTTCTGCAGGTGAGCCAGGATGGTAGATCTCGAGTACGATCAGATGGAGTGGGTGATGTGCTGATGGGGGAGGCGGTGCGAGGGTGCATGCAGGCTGCAGCGCATGAGGGGGATGTGAATGGGCAGAAGCGGCTTCTATCCGCTGCTGCCTTTGGCAGAGCCTTCTGCAGGTGAGCCAGGATGGTAGATCTCGAGTACGATCAGATGGAGTGGGTGATGTGCTGATGGGGGAGGCGGTGCGAGGGTGCATGCAGGCTGCAGCGCATGAGGGGGATGTGAATGGGCAGAAGCGGCTTCTATCCGCTGCTGCCTTTGGCAGAGCCTTCTGCAGGTGAGCCAGGATGGTAGATCTCGAGTACGATCAGATGGAGTGGGTGATGTGCTGATGGGGGAGGCGGTGCGAGGGTGCATGCAGGCTGCAGCGCATGAGGGGGATGTGAATGGGCAGAAGCGGCTTCTATCCGCTGCTGCCTTTGGCAGAGCCTTCTGCAGGTGAGCCAGGATGGTAGATCTCGAGTACGATCAGATGGAGTGGGTGATGTGCTGATGGGGGAGGCGGTGCGAGGGTGCATGCAGGCTGCAGCGCATGAGGGGGATGTGAATGGGCAGAAGCGGCTTCTATCCGCTGCTGCCTTTGGCAGAGCCTTCTGCAGGTGAGCCAGGATGGTAGATCTCGAGTACGATCAGATGGAGTGGGTGATGTGCTGATGGGGGAGGCGGTGCGAGGGTGCATGCAGGCTGCAGCGCATGAGGGGGATGTGAATGGGCAGAAGCGGCTTCTATCCGCTGCTGCCTTTGGCAGAGCCTTCTGCAGGTGAGCCAGGATGGTAGATCTCGAGTACGATCAGATGGAGTGGGTGATGTGCTGATGGGGGAGGCGGTGCGAGGGTGCATGCAGGCTGCAGCGCATGAGGGGGATGTGAATGGGCAGAAGCGGCTTCTATCCGCTGCTGCCTTTGGCAGAGCCTTCTGCAGGTGAGCCAGGATGGTAGATCTCGAGTACGATCAGATGGAGTGGGTGATGTGCTGATGGGGGAGGCGGTGCGAGGGTGCATGCAGGCTGCAGCGCATGAGGGGGATGTGAATGGGCAGAAGCGGCTTCTATCCGCTGCTGCCTTTGGCAGAGCCTTCTGCAGGTGAGCCAGGATGGTAGATCTCGAGTACGATCAGATGGAGTGGGTGATGTGCTGATGGGGGAGGCGGTGCGAGGGTGCATGCAGGCTGCAGCGCATGAGGGGGATGTGAATGGGCAGAAGCGGCTTCTATCCGCTGCTGCCTTTGGCAGAGCCTTCTGCAGGTGAGCCAGGATGGTAGATCTCGAGTACGATCAGATGGAGTGGGTGATGTGCTGATGGGGGAGGCGGTGCGAGGGTGCATGCAGGCTGCAGCGCATGAGGGGGATGTGAATGGGCAGAAGCGGCTTCTATCCGCTGCTGCCTTTGGCAGAGCCTTCTGCAGGTGAGCCAGGATGGTAGATCTCGAGTACGATCAGATGGAGTGGGTGATGTGCTGATGGGGGAGGCGGTGCGAGGGTGCATGCAGGCTGCAGCGCATGAGGGGGATGTGAATGGGCAGAAGCGGCTTCTATCCGCTGCTGCCTTTGGCAGAGCCTTCTGCAGGTGAGCCAGGATGGTAGATCTCGAGTACGATCAGATGGAGTGGGTGATGTGCTGATGGGGGAGGCGGTGCGAGGGTGCATGCAGGCTGCAGCGCATGAGGGGGATGTGAATGGGCAGAAGCGGCTTCTATCCGCTGCTGCCTTTGGCAGAGCCTTCTGCAGGTGAGCCAGGATGGTAGATCTCGAGTACGATCAGATGGAGTGGGTGATGTGCTGATGGGGGAGGCGGTGCGAGGGTGCATGCAGGCTGCAGCGCATGAGGGGGATGTGAATGGGCAGAAGCGGCTTCTATCCGCTGCTGCCTTTGGCAGAGCCTTCTGCAGGTGAGCCAGGATGGTAGATCTCGAGTACGATCAGATGGAGTGGGTGATGTGCTGATGGGGGAGGCGGTGCGAGGGTGCATGCAGGCTGCAGCGCATGAGGGGGATGTGAATGGGCAGAAGCGGCTTCTATCCGCTGCTGCCTTTGGCAGAGCCTTCTGCAGGTGAGCCAGGATGGTAGATCTCGAGTACGATCAGATGGAGTGGGTGATGTGCTGATGGGGGAGGCGGTGCGAGGGTGCATGCAGGCTGCAGCGCATGAGGGGGATGTGAATGGGCAGAAGCGGCTTCTATCCGCTGCTGCCTTTGGCAGAGCCTTCTGCAGGTGAGCCAGGATGGTAGATCTCGAGTACGATCAGATGGAGTGGGTGATGTGCTGATGGGGGAGGCGGTGCGAGGGTGCATGCAGGCTGCAGCGCATGAGGGGGATGTGAATGGGCAGAAGCGGCTTCTATCCGCTGCTGCCTTTGGCAGAGCCTTCTGCAGGTGAGCCAGGATGGTAGATCTCGAGTACGATCAGATGGAGTGGGTGATGTGCTGATGGGGGAGGCGGTGCGAGGGTGCATGCAGGCTGCAGCGCATGAGGGGGATGTGAATGGGCAGAAGCGGCTTCTATCCGCTGCTGCCTTTGGCAGAGCCTTCTGCAGGTGAGCCAGGATGGTAGATCTCGAGTACGATCAGATGGAGTGGGTGATGTGCTGATGGGGGAGGCGGTGCGAGGGTGCATGCAGGCTGCAGCGCATGAGGGGGATGTGAATGGGCAGAAGCGGCTTCTATCCGCTGCTGCCTTTGGCAGAGCCTTCTGCAGGTGAGCCAGGATGGTAGATCTCGAGTACGATCAGATGGAGTGGGTGATGTGCTGATGGGGGAGGCGGTGCGAGGGTGCATGCAGGCTGCAGCGCATGAGGGGGATGTGAATGGGCAGAAGCGGCTTCTATCCGCTGCTGCCTTTGGCAGAGCCTTCTGCAGGTGAGCCAGGATGGTAGATCTCGAGTACGATCAGATGGAGTGGGTGATGTGCTGATGGGGGAGGCGGTGCGAGGGTGCATGCAGGCTGCAGCGCATGAGGGGGATGTGAATGGGCAGAAGCGGCTTCTATCCGCTGCTGCCTTTGGCAGAGCCTTCTGCAGGTGAGCCAGGATGGTAGATCTCGAGTACGATCAGATGGAGTGGGTGATGTGCTGATGGGGGAGGCGGTGCGAGGGTGCATGCAGGCTGCAGCGCATGAGGGGGATGTGAATGGGCAGAAGCGGCTTCTATCCGCTGCTGCCTTTGGCAGAGCCTTCTGCAGGTGAGCCAGGATGGTAGATCTCGAGTACGATCAGATGGAGTGGGTGATGTGCTGATGGGGGAGGCGGTGCGAGGGTGCATGCAGGCTGCAGCGCATGAGGGGGATGTGAATGGGCAGAAGCGGCTTCTATCCGCTGCTGCCTTTGGCAGAGCCTTCTGCAGGTGAGCCAGGATGGTAGATCTCGAGTACGATCAGATGGAGTGGGTGATGTGCTGATGGGGGAGGCGGTGCGAGGGTGCATGCAGGCTGCAGCGCATGAGGGGGATGTGAATGGGCAGAAGCGGCTTCTATCCGCTGCTGCCTTTGGCAGAGCCTTCTGCAGGTGAGCCAGGATGGTAGATCTCGAGTACGATCAGATGGAGTGGGTGATGTGCTGATGGGGGAGGCGGTGCGAGGGTGCATGCAGGCTGCAGCGCATGAGGGGGATGTGAATGGGCAGAAGCGGCTTCTATCCGCTGCTGCCTTTGGCAGAGCCTTCTGCAGGTGAGCCAGGATGGTAGATCTCGAGTACGATCAGATGGAGTGGGTGATGTGCTGATGGGGGAGGCGGTGCGAGGGTGCATGCAGGCTGCAGCGCATGAGGGGGATGTGAATGGGCAGAAGCGGCTTCTATCCGCTGCTGCCTTTGGCAGAGCCTTCTGCAGGTGAGCCAGGATGGTAGATCTCGAGTACGATCAGATGGAGTGGGTGATGTGCTGATGGGGGAGGCGGTGCGAGGGTGCATGCAGGCTGCAGCGCATGAGGGGGATGTGAATGGGCAGAAGCGGCTTCTATCCGCTGCTGCCTTTGGCAGAGCCTTCTGCAGGTGAGCCAGGATGGTAGATCTCGAGTACGATCAGATGGAGTGGGTGATGTGCTGATGGGGGAGGCGGTGCGAGGGTGCATGCAGGCTGCAGCGCATGAGGGGGATGTGAATGGGCAGAAGCGGCTTCTATCCGCTGCTGCCTTTGGCAGAGCCTTCTGCAGGTGAGCCAGGATGGTAGATCTCGAGTACGATCAGATGGAGTGGGTGATGTGCTGATGGGGGAGGCGGTGCGAGGGTGCATGCAGGCTGCAGCGCATGAGGGGGATGTGAATGGGCAGAAGCGGCTTCTATCCGCTGCTGCCTTTGGCAGAGCCTTCTGCAGGTGAGCCAGGATGGTAGATCTCGAGTACGATCAGATGGAGTGGGTGATGTGCTGATGGGGGAGGCGGTGCGAGGGTGCATGCAGGCTGCAGCGCATGAGGGGGATGTGAATGGGCAGAAGCGGCTTCTATCCGCTGCTGCCTTTGGCAGAGCCTTCTGCAGGTGAGCCAGGATGGTAGATCTCGAGTACGATCAGATGGAGTGGGTGATGTGCTGATGGGGGAGGCGGTGCGAGGGTGCATGCAGGCTGCAGCGCATGAGGGGGATGTGAATGGGCAGAAGCGGCTTCTATCCGCTGCTGCCTTTGGCAGAGCCTTCTGCAGGTGAGCCAGGATGGTAGATCTCGAGTACGATCAGATGGAGTGGGTGATGTGCTGATGGGGGAGGCGGTGCGAGGGTGCATGCAGGCTGCAGCGCATGAGGGGGATGTGAATGGGCAGAAGCGGCTTCTATCCGCTGCTGCCTTTGGCAGAGCCTTCTGCAGGTGAGCCAGGATGGTAGATCTCGAGTACGATCAGATGGAGTGGGTGATGTGCTGATGGGGGAGGCGGTGCGAGGGTGCATGCAGGCTGCAGCGCATGAGGGGGATGTGAATGGGCAGAAGCGGCTTCTATCCGCTGCTGCCTTTGGCAGAGCCTTCTGCAGGTGAGCCAGGATGGTAGATCTCGAGTACGATCAGATGGAGTGGGTGATGTGCTGATGGGGGAGGCGGTGCGAGGGTGCATGCAGGCTGCAGCGCATGAGGGGGATGTGAATGGGCAGAAGCGGCTTCTATCCGCTGCTGCCTTTGGCAGAGCCTTCTGCAGGTGAGCCAGGATGGTAGATCTCGAGTACGATCAGATGGAGTGGGTGATGTGCTGATGGGGGAGGCGGTGCGAGGGTGCATGCAGGCTGCAGCGCATGAGGGGGATGTGAATGGGCAGAAGCGGCTTCTATCCGCTGCTGCCTTTGGCAGAGCCTTCTGCAGGTGAGCCAGGATGGTAGATCTCGAGTACGATCAGATGGAGTGGGTGATGTGCTGATGGGGGAGGCGGTGCGAGGGTGCATGCAGGCTGCAGCGCATGAGGGGGATGTGAATGGGCAGAAGCGGCTTCTATCCGCTGCTGCCTTTGGCAGAGCCTTCTGCAGGTGAGCCAGGATGGTAGATCTCGAGTACGATCAGATGGAGTGGGTGATGTGCTGATGGGGGAGGCGGTGCGAGGGTGCATGCAGGCTGCAGCGCATGAGGGGGATGTGAATGGGCAGAAGCGGCTTCTATCCGCTGCTGCCTTTGGCAGAGCCTTCTGCAGGTGAGCCAGGATGGTAGATCTCGAGTACGATCAGATGGAGTGGGTGATGTGCTGATGGGGGAGGCGGTGCGAGGGTGCATGCAGGCTGCAGCGCATGAGGGGGATGTGAATGGGCAGAAGCGGCTTCTATCCGCTGCTGCCTTTGGCAGAGCCTTCTGCAGGTGAGCCAGGATGGTAGATCTCGAGTACGATCAGATGGAGTGGGTGATGTGCTGATGGGGGAGGCGGTGCGAGGGTGCATGCAGGCTGCAGCGCATGAGGGGGATGTGAATGGGCAGAAGCGGCTTCTATCCGCTGCTGCCTTTGGCAGAGCCTTCTGCAGGTGAGCCAGGATGGTAGATCTCGAGTACGATCAGATGGAGTGGGTGATGTGCTGATGGGGGAGGCGGTGCGAGGGTGCATGCAGGCTGCAGCGCATGAGGGGGATGTGAATGGGCAGAAGCGGCTTCTATCCGCTGCTGCCTTTGGCAGAGCCTTCTGCAGGTGAGCCAGGATGGTAGATCTCGAGTACGATCAGATGGAGTGGGTGATGTGCTGATGGGGGAGGCGGTGCGAGGGTGCATGCAGGCTGCAGCGCATGAGGGGGATGTGAATGGGCAGAAGCGGCTTCTATCCGCTGCTGCCTTTGGCAGAGCCTTCTGCAGGTGAGCCAGGATGGTAGATCTCGAGTACGATCAGATGGAGTGGGTGATGTGCTGATGGGGGAGGCGGTGCGAGGGTGCATGCAGGCTGCAGCGCATGAGGGGGATGTGAATGGGCAGAAGCGGCTTCTATCCGCTGCTGCCTTTGGCAGAGCCTTCTGCAGGTGAGCCAGGATGGTAGATCTCGAGTACGATCAGATGGAGTGGGTGATGTGCTGATGGGGGAGGCGGTGCGAGGGTGCATGCAGGCTGCAGCGCATGAGGGGGATGTGAATGGGCAGAAGCGGCTTCTATCCGCTGCTGCCTTTGGCAGAGCCTTCTGCAGGTGAGCCAGGATGGTAGATCTCGAGTACGATCAGATGGAGTGGGTGATGTGCTGATGGGGGAGGCGGTGCGAGGGTGCATGCAGGCTGCAGCGCATGAGGGGGATGTGAATGGGCAGAAGCGGCTTCTATCCGCTGCTGCCTTTGGCAGAGCCTTCTGCAGGTGAGCCAGGATGGTAGATCTCGAGTACGATCAGATGGAGTGGGTGATGTGCTGATGGGGGAGGCGGTGCGAGGGTGCATGCAGGCTGCAGCGCATGAGGGGGATGTGAATGGGCAGAAGCGGCTTCTATCCGCTGCTGCCTTTGGCAGAGCCTTCTGCAGGTGAGCCAGGATGGTAGATCTCGAGTACGATCAGATGGAGTGGGTGATGTGCTGATGGGGGAGGCGGTGCGAGGGTGCATGCAGGCTGCAGCGCATGAGGGGGATGTGAATGGGCAGAAGCGGCTTCTATCCGCTGCTGCCTTTGGCAGAGCCTTCTGCAGGTGAGCCAGGATGGTAGATCTCGAGTACGATCAGATGGAGTGGGTGATGTGCTGATGGGGGAGGCGGTGCGAGGGTGCATGCAGGCTGCAGCGCATGAGGGGGATGTGAATGGGCAGAAGCGGCTTCTATCCGCTGCTGCCTTTGGCAGAGCCTTCTGCAGGTGAGCCAGGATGGTAGATCTCGAGTACGATCAGATGGAGTGGGTGATGTGCTGATGGGGGAGGCGGTGCGAGGGTGCATGCAGGCTGCAGCGCATGAGGGGGATGTGAATGGGCAGAAGCGGCTTCTATCCGCTGCTGCCTTTGGCAGAGCCTTCTGCAGGTGAGCCAGGATGGTAGATCTCGAGTACGATCAGATGGAGTGGGTGATGTGCTGATGGGGGAGGCGGTGCGAGGGTGCATGCAGGCTGCAGCGCATGAGGGGGATGTGAATGGGCAGAAGCGGCTTCTATCCGCTGCTGCCTTTGGCAGAGCCTTCTGCAGGTGAGCCAGGATGGTAGATCTCGAGTACGATCAGATGGAGTGGGTGATGTGCTGATGGGGGAGGCGGTGCGAGGGTGCATGCAGGCTGCAGCGCATGAGGGGGATGTGAATGGGCAGAAGCGGCTTCTATCCGCTGCTGCCTTTGGCAGAGCCTTCTGCAGGTGAGCCAGGATGGTAGATCTCGAGTACGATCAGATGGAGTGGGTGATGTGCTGATGGGGGAGGCGGTGCGAGGGTGCATGCAGGCTGCAGCGCATGAGGGGGATGTGAATGGGCAGAAGCGGCTTCTATCCGCTGCTGCCTTTGGCAGAGCCTTCTGCAGGTGAGCCAGGATGGTAGATCTCGAGTACGATCAGATGGAGTGGGTGATGTGCTGATGGGGGAGGCGGTGCGAGGGTGCATGCAGGCTGCAGCGCATGAGGGGGATGTGAATGGGCAGAAGCGGCTTCTATCCGCTGCTGCCTTTGGCAGAGCCTTCTGCAGGTGAGCCAGGATGGTAGATCTCGAGTACGATCAGATGGAGTGGGTGATGTGCTGATGGGGGAGGCGGTGCGAGGGTGCATGCAGGCTGCAGCGCATGAGGGGGATGTGAATGGGCAGAAGCGGCTTCTATCCGCTGCTGCCTTTGGCAGAGCCTTCTGCAGGTGAGCCAGGATGGTAGATCTCGAGTACGATCAGATGGAGTGGGTGATGTGCTGATGGGGGAGGCGGTGCGAGGGTGCATGCAGGCTGCAGCGCATGAGGGGGATGTGAATGGGCAGAAGCGGCTTCTATCCGCTGCTGCCTTTGGCAGAGCCTTCTGCAGGTGAGCCAGGATGGTAGATCTCGAGTACGATCAGATGGAGTGGGTGATGTGCTGATGGGGGAGGCGGTGCGAGGGTGCATGCAGGCTGCAGCGCATGAGGGGGATGTGAATGGGCAGAAGCGGCTTCTATCCGCTGCTGCCTTTGGCAGAGCCTTCTGCAGGTGAGCCAGGATGGTAGATCTCGAGTACGATCAGATGGAGTGGGTGATGTGCTGATGGGGGAGGCGGTGCGAGGGTGCATGCAGGCTGCAGCGCATGAGGGGGATGTGAATGGGCAGAAGCGGCTTCTATCCGCTGCTGCCTTTGGCAGAGCCTTCTGCAGGTGAGCCAGGATGGTAGATCTCGAGTACGATCAGATGGAGTGGGTGATGTGCTGATGGGGGAGGCGGTGCGAGGGTGCATGCAGGCTGCAGCGCATGAGGGGGATGTGAATGGGCAGAAGCGGCTTCTATCCGCTGCTGCCTTTGGCAGAGCCTTCTGCAGGTGAGCCAGGATGGTAGATCTCGAGTACGATCAGATGGAGTGGGTGATGTGCTGATGGGGGAGGCGGTGCGAGGGTGCATGCAGGCTGCAGCGCATGAGGGGGATGTGAATGGGCAGAAGCGGCTTCTATCCGCTGCTGCCTTTGGCAGAGCCTTCTGCAGGTGAGCCAGGATGGTAGATCTCGAGTACGATCAGATGGAGTGGGTGATGTGCTGATGGGGGAGGCGGTGCGAGGGTGCATGCAGGCTGCAGCGCATGAGGGGGATGTGAATGGGCAGAAGCGGCTTCTATCCGCTGCTGCCTTTGGCAGAGCCTTCTGCAGGTGAGCCAGGATGGTAGATCTCGAGTACGATCAGATGGAGTGGGTGATGTGCTGATGGGGGAGGCGGTGCGAGGGTGCATGCAGGCTGCAGCGCATGAGGGGGATGTGAATGGGCAGAAGCGGCTTCTATCCGCTGCTGCCTTTGGCAGAGCCTTCTGCAGGTGAGCCAGGATGGTAGATCTCGAGTACGATCAGATGGAGTGGGTGATGTGCTGATGGGGGAGGCGGTGCGAGGGTGCATGCAGGCTGCAGCGCATGAGGGGGATGTGAATGGGCAGAAGCGGCTTCTATCCGCTGCTGCCTTTGGCAGAGCCTTCTGCAGGTGAGCCAGGATGGTAGATCTCGAGTACGATCAGATGGAGTGGGTGATGTGCTGATGGGGGAGGCGGTGCGAGGGTGCATGCAGGCTGCAGCGCATGAGGGGGATGTGAATGGGCAGAAGCGGCTTCTATCCGCTGCTGCCTTTGGCAGAGCCTTCTGCAGGTGAGCCAGGATGGTAGATCTCGAGTACGATCAGATGGAGTGGGTGATGTGCTGATGGGGGAGGCGGTGCGAGGGTGCATGCAGGCTGCAGCGCATGAGGGGGATGTGAATGGGCAGAAGCGGCTTCTATCCGCTGCTGCCTTTGGCAGAGCCTTCTGCAGGTGAGCCAGGATGGTAGATCTCGAGTACGATCAGATGGAGTGGGTGATGTGCTGATGGGGGAGGCGGTGCGAGGGTGCATGCAGGCTGCAGCGCATGAGGGGGATGTGAATGGGCAGAAGCGGCTTCTATCCGCTGCTGCCTTTGGCAGAGCCTTCTGCAGGTGAGCCAGGATGGTAGATCTCGAGTACGATCAGATGGAGTGGGTGATGTGCTGATGGGGGAGGCGGTGCGAGGGTGCATGCAGGCTGCAGCGCATGAGGGGGATGTGAATGGGCAGAAGCGGCTTCTATCCGCTGCTGCCTTTGGCAGAGCCTTCTGCAGGTGAGCCAGGATGGTAGATCTCGAGTACGATCAGATGGAGTGGGTGATGTGCTGATGGGGGAGGCGGTGCGAGGGTGCATGCAGGCTGCAGCGCATGAGGGGGATGTGAATGGGCAGAAGCGGCTTCTATCCGCTGCTGCCTTTGGCAGAGCCTTCTGCAGGTGAGCCAGGATGGTAGATCTCGAGTACGATCAGATGGAGTGGGTGATGTGCTGATGGGGGAGGCGGTGCGAGGGTGCATGCAGGCTGCAGCGCATGAGGGGGATGTGAATGGGCAGAAGCGGCTTCTATCCGCTGCTGCCTTTGGCAGAGCCTTCTGCAGGTGAGCCAGGATGGTAGATCTCGAGTACGATCAGATGGAGTGGGTGATGTGCTGATGGGGGAGGCGGTGCGAGGGTGCATGCAGGCTGCAGCGCATGAGGGGGATGTGAATGGGCAGAAGCGGCTTCTATCCGCTGCTGCCTTTGGCAGAGCCTTCTGCAGGTGAGCCAGGATGGTAGATCTCGAGTACGATCAGATGGAGTGGGTGATGTGCTGATGGGGGAGGCGGTGCGAGGGTGCATGCAGGCTGCAGCGCATGAGGGGGATGTGAATGGGCAGAAGCGGCTTCTATCCGCTGCTGCCTTTGGCAGAGCCTTCTGCAGGTGAGCCAGGATGGTAGATCTCGAGTACGATCAGATGGAGTGGGTGATGTGCTGATGGGGGAGGCGGTGCGAGGGTGCATGCAGGCTGCAGCGCATGAGGGGGATGTGAATGGGCAGAAGCGGCTTCTATCCGCTGCTGCCTTTGGCAGAGCCTTCTGCAGGTGAGCCAGGATGGTAGATCTCGAGTACGATCAGATGGAGTGGGTGATGTGCTGATGGGGGAGGCGGTGCGAGGGTGCATGCAGGCTGCAGCGCATGAGGGGGATGTGAATGGGCAGAAGCGGCTTCTATCCGCTGCTGCCTTTGGCAGAGCCTTCTGCAGGTGAGCCAGGATGGTAGATCTCGAGTACGATCAGATGGAGTGGGTGATGTGCTGATGGGGGAGGCGGTGCGAGGGTGCATGCAGGCTGCAGCGCATGAGGGGGATGTGAATGGGCAGAAGCGGCTTCTATCCGCTGCTGCCTTTGGCAGAGCCTTCTGCAGGTGAGCCAGGATGGTAGATCTCGAGTACGATCAGATGGAGTGGGTGATGTGCTGATGGGGGAGGCGGTGCGAGGGTGCATGCAGGCTGCAGCGCATGAGGGGGATGTGAATGGGCAGAAGCGGCTTCTATCCGCTGCTGCCTTTGGCAGAGCCTTCTGCAGGTGAGCCAGGATGGTAGATCTCGAGTACGATCAGATGGAGTGGGTGATGTGCTGATGGGGGAGGCGGTGCGAGGGTGCATGCAGGCTGCAGCGCATGAGGGGGATGTGAATGGGCAGAAGCGGCTTCTATCCGCTGCTGCCTTTGGCAGAGCCTTCTGCAGGTGAGCCAGGATGGTAGATCTCGAGTACGATCAGATGGAGTGGGTGATGTGCTGATGGGGGAGGCGGTGCGAGGGTGCATGCAGGCTGCAGCGCATGAGGGGGATGTGAATGGGCAGAAGCGGCTTCTATCCGCTGCTGCCTTTGGCAGAGCCTTCTGCAGGTGAGCCAGGATGGTAGATCTCGAGTACGATCAGATGGAGTGGGTGATGTGCTGATGGGGGAGGCGGTGCGAGGGTGCATGCAGGCTGCAGCGCATGAGGGGGATGTGAATGGGCAGAAGCGGCTTCTATCCGCTGCTGCCTTTGGCAGAGCCTTCTGCAGGTGAGCCAGGATGGTAGATCTCGAGTACGATCAGATGGAGTGGGTGATGTGCTGATGGGGGAGGCGGTGCGAGGGTGCATGCAGGCTGCAGCGCATGAGGGGGATGTGAATGGGCAGAAGCGGCTTCTATCCGCTGCTGCCTTTGGCAGAGCCTTCTGCAGGTGAGCCAGGATGGTAGATCTCGAGTACGATCAGATGGAGTGGGTGATGTGCTGATGGGGGAGGCGGTGCGAGGGTGCATGCAGGCTGCAGCGCATGAGGGGGATGTGAATGGGCAGAAGCGGCTTCTATCCGCTGCTGCCTTTGGCAGAGCCTTCTGCAGGTGAGCCAGGATGGTAGATCTCGAGTACGATCAGATGGAGTGGGTGATGTGCTGATGGGGGAGGCGGTGCGAGGGTGCATGCAGGCTGCAGCGCATGAGGGGGATGTGAATGGGCAGAAGCGGCTTCTATCCGCTGCTGCCTTTGGCAGAGCCTTCTGCAGGTGAGCCAGGATGGTAGATCTCGAGTACGATCAGATGGAGTGGGTGATGTGCTGATGGGGGAGGCGGTGCGAGGGTGCATGCAGGCTGCAGCGCATGAGGGGGATGTGAATGGGCAGAAGCGGCTTCTATCCGCTGCTGCCTTTGGCAGAGCCTTCTGCAGGTGAGCCAGGATGGTAGATCTCGAGTACGATCAGATGGAGTGGGTGATGTGCTGATGGGGGAGGCGGTGCGAGGGTGCATGCAGGCTGCAGCGCATGAGGGGATGTGAATGGGCAGAAGCGGCTTCTATCCGCTGCTGCCTTTGGCAGAGCCTTCTGCAGGTGAGCCAGGATGGTAGATCTCGAGTACGATCAGATGGAGTGGGTGATGTGCTGATGGGGGAGGCCGGTGCGAGGGTGCATGCAGGCTGCAGCGCATGAGGGGGATGTGAATGGGCAGAAGCGGCTTCTATCCGCTGCTGCCTTTGGCAGAGCCTTCTGCAGGTGAGCCAGGATGGTAGATCTCGAGTACGATCAGATGGAGTGGGTGATGTGCTGATGGGGGAGGCGGTGCGAGGGTGCATGCAGGCTGCAGCGCATGAGGGGGATGTGAATGGGCAGAAGCGGCTTCTATCCGCTGCTGCCTTTGGCAGAGCCTTCTGCAGGTGAGCCAGGATGGTAGATCTCGAGTACGATCAGATGGAGTGGGTGATGTGCTGATGGGGGAGGCGGTGCGAGGGTGCATGCAGGCTGCAGCGCATGAGGGGGATGTGAATGGGCAGAAGCGGCTTCTATCCGCTGCTGCCTTTGGCAGAGCCTTCTGCAGGTGAGCCAGGATGGTAGATCTCGAGTACGATCAGATGGAGTGGGTGATGTGCTGATGGGGAGGCGGTGCGAGGGTGCATGCAGGCTGCAGCGCATGAGGGGGATGTGAATGGGCAGAAGCGGCTTCTATCCGCTGCTGCCTTTGGCAGAGCCTTCGCAGGTGAGCCAGGATTGGTAGATCTCGAGTACGATCAGATGGAGTGGTGATGTGCTGATGGGGGAGGCGGTGCGAGGGTGCATGCAGGCTGCAGCGGCATGAGGGGGATGTGAATGGGCAGAAGCGGCTTCTATCCGCTGCTGCCTTTGGGCGAGCCTTCTGCAGGGAGCCAGGATGGTAGATCTCGAGTACGATCAGATGGAAGTGGGTTATGTGCTGATGGGGGACGGCGGTGCGAGGGTGCATGCAGGCTGCAGCGCTATGAGGGGGATGTGAATGGGCAGAAGCGGCTTCTATCCGACTGCTGCCTTTTGCAGAGCCTCTGCAGGTGAGCCAGGATGGTAGATCTCGAGTACGATCAGATGGAGTGGGTGATGTGCTGATGGGGGAGGCGGTGCTTGATGGGTGCATGCAGGCTGCAGCGCATGAGGGGGATGTGAATGGGCAGAAGCGGCTTCTATCCGCTGCTGCCTTTGGCAGAGCCTTCTGCAGGTGAGCCAGGATGGTAA